TAATGGGGTGTTAAATGAGGATGGGGATGGAGTGTACTCTGTGGAGGCGTCTAAAAACGAGTATCTAGTGAAATGTTCTGTTGTCATTGATGAAGAATCTTTGAAGACGCTATATGGCGAATTATGGCCAGATTTAACGACACTGGTAGCATTTCTAAGTGAAAACCGACGGGGAGACCTCAAGTTAGTGAAGACGTTGTTGAAGATTTAAGGATGAGAATGGAACAAAGTCCGAATAAAGCTTTGTCAAAAATCTTTACTGTCCGGAGTACCATACAGCCCATGTCAGAAAATCGTAAAAGAGAAGTTACATATGCATCCATACAAGATTTTGTTGGTTCAGGAGCTGCAACCAGCTGATTTTCCTTGCCGCGTTGGGTAGTGTAGTTGGTTTCAAGCTGATATGGACGATAACGGGATTCTCGATTTGTCGTTCTTTTCTGATGAAGCCTGGTTCCATCTGTTAGGCTATTATGTCAACTGACAGAACTTCAGAATTTGGTGTATAGAAAATACTCACGCTTTTGAAGAAACACCATCACACGCAATGAAGGTTGGTGTGTGGTTAGCAGACGACGATTCATAGGCCTGATACTTTTTCAAGTAAATGAATGTGATCAATAAACAAAATTAGATGTAGAAAGTGTATGTAGGTACTGCAATAAAGTTTTTTATTTTCAGTAACTTTCATTTTTCTTTCGGTGTTAGTTGCATTCTCTTAATTTAAAACTTACTTCAACTTACTGTTTAGTAATAATTGTAATTTTACTATTAGGAAAGTTAAAAATCTTTATTAAACATTCTGTTGTTTCAAGAGATCTCATAATCAGCTACAGAACTCTTAACACTATGCTCCTGAAATTTTATTGGTTTTTTCATCTTTTTTCTTATAGAAATTTTGAAAAATCTTGATATTAGGATGGCCATGTGGGCGTGTTTTGGGTAGAACCTCTTTGACATTCCTGTTATGCAGATCTGGCATGTTTCAGATATCTAGAAACTGCAAAGCTGAAGGTAATGTTTGGACATAGCAGTTTTCACCTATTGTAGGGATGAAGATCAAGGATTTCAGTTGTGTTTTTTCAAGAGAAAAGCACCGGTCACAAACCATGTCTGCACCAATATTTTGACGATTCCTTTCAATTTACAAACAGAACTTTCGCGGGATCACAACTTTGGCAAAATTATTTACTGCAAAAACTCATTAGGTACTCATAGTGTTCGTTAACTGTGATAAGACTTGCTCTGCCATTGTCCATTACGTGATTTTTCACAATTTTTACCTTCAGGGTACCTATAAAAATGTAATTTTTTAAATAATTACCGTGTTCATTGGTTTCGACAAACTTAACCTCACTTTTTGGATTTCATTATTTGAAAAATTATTGCTTCTTTGCAAAACAGACCAGATGATTTATTCTGTTCAACTCCAATCGACTTTCCAAGGTGTAATTCATGACAAAGCCCTTAAACGTTTTTCTGACAATTTACAATTTTTGAAACTGAAATGTATTGCAGTGGCGTTCACAAATGCCCGATAACACTGCAACCCTTAATGCTCTGGCCTGGCGTCTTTTCGTGTCTATTTAAAATGAATTTAAACCGCGAACCGGGCATTTCAATTTTTGACACATCTGACAGATTTGTTTGGACGTTCGTGACATTTCAAAACAGTTCAAATCATTTTGGTGATTAGCGGCACGAGAAAAATTTCATTTGTTTTTCATAGGTGAGTTGACTACAATATTTTATAATGACCCTGTACGATATGATAAATTCCGACTGAGGAAAGCTTCACTTTAGAGACGTGTAACACTAATTTCGTATGTCATAGTTCTATTGATTATCCGTTATTGTTTTTCTTTACTGTTAGCTTTGTTGGTTAGGGCTGTAGAATATGCCACCGCTCAGCTATATAGGTGGTAGAAGAATACTTTGTCGCGGACAGGAAATTCCGCCCTTAAATGAACCCTATTACAGCGCAAAGTTCCCCTTTCGTAAATTAACCTAGCTCACTTGTCGGAAATACCAAAAAGGTCGAATTCTGGAGTCATCTTCAAATAACTTGGTGTTCAATATCATCTTTTATTTTCCACGACATCGCAAAGTCATTCTCTTGGTTTCTTGTTCCGATGCACTCATTTCTTGACCTTATATGGTCAGAGATCGCGCGTGTTTGTTCTAACGTCTTATATAGGTAGGAGCTATCATTGACCAATCAAATCGTTCAGCAGTCCACGTGGATGAGGCATCTCTTTTCCAGATCAGGACAAAATTAACCGATGACCAATCAGAGCACTTTAAAATCCCAGCCAGACCGGCATTCAAGGTTGCCTAGGCGATTTTTTTTTCATGGTCCGAACATCCTAGAAATAGACTAATGCACGAAAATAACGAAGCCAAAATCGATCTATTCGGTACAGAGAGTTTTTAATTCGTAATACTCCTCTCTCTCCCCCTTTTAGAAAATTTTCCTAAGCGAAAATTTCACTACGATAGATTGGGTACGAAACAGAAACGACAAAGCTAATCCGGACTCTGCGGTGGCACATCCTGGTCTACGGAAGATTTCAGGTCCTTGACGTGCCAACGTCGACGGCCCTTGTTGTCGTCTCCTTCGAGGACGTACGTTCCGTAGATAATCTTTTGCGAAACGCGAAAAGGTCCAACGTAACGGGGTGCGAGTGATGAGAAGTAGTACTTGGAGGCATCCGATTACGAGTAGTTTTTACGCCACACGAGATCGCCGGGCGAACATTCAAAATGCCGACGTCGCAAATTGTACACACGCGAGCTACCCTCTTTTGTCTTGGTCAAGTGCTGTTCAACGAAACGGTGTAAAAAAGTTGTGGCGCACCAAATAATAAAATGATCTCCTCCTTCAAGAGATCAACGACAGTTTTAGCCGTGGATTTACGAAGCAGGAAGAAACGACAAAATTTACTAAAACAATCGCTCACGACTAAAATGCTTGTACATATCCCTGGGTAGAACGAGGAATGGGACCAACTTAATCCGTGCTAATAATTTTCCACGGTCTATCCACGATGGGATTTTTGTCATAAGCCCTTTTGGCGCCAGCTGCTCGGGTTTAGTCATCTGACAGGTTCTACATCCACGTATATAACGTGTGACGTCAGAGCGCAAGTGTGGCCAATAGCAAACCTTTTAAATACGTCTAAGTCACCGCTTCATGGATTGTCGTGGTTCTTCTTCAAAACCTTTATTCTATATTTCTTGGGAATTACTCGTTTCCACGCGAAAAGCGGATCGCCATAAGTAGTGTCACGATTATAGGCGAACTTGTAAAGAGAATAGGATTTCTTTCGACTTCCGCAAGCATACGGGTGTACCGACGATCGTTTACCGTGGCCGAAACACACACTATGTCTGCCTCAGAAGAGTTCACGGTTTTCGACACGACATCTATTTTAGTAACGGCTCGACTAAGCGCATTCGGCACAACATGTGAACTGTCCTTACGGTGAACGATTTCGAAATCGAATGCTTGCAAACCTAGAGCCCATCGACAAGGCTTTCCTGTGGGGTTTTGAAGGCTCTGTAACCAAATAAGCGAGTGATGGTCCGTAATGACCTTAAAATGATACCCCTCCACATAACCACGGAATTTTTCGATTGCCCAAATCACGGCTAAGCACTCCTTTTGATTTATATAACTGATGACGTGTTCGCTATCCGAATATTCCTGAGTCAATACTACAACGATCCCATAATCATTAGCGTCCGTTTGGATGATGAATGGTCGTGAAAAGTCTGGACAATACGACACGGGAGCCGAAACTAACCTTTCCTTAATGAGACGAAAAGCCACTTCTTGCTCCAAACGCCTAACGAATGTTTGTTTCTTACGTAGAATCCTAGACAAAGGTCCCGCGATTGTCGAAAAACTTGGCAAGCAAACACTTGTCCTTTCCTAAGGTTAGACCTGCAGCTTGCAGACGCTCAATAACTAACTGAAGAACTTCCATGTGTTTTTCGAAAGTAGGTGTTACAATAATAATATCATCTAAGCACTGAAAAACGTAAGGCTTAAAATCATGTCCCAAAATTGTAACAATCAACCGCTGAAAAGTCGTCAGCGCATTAGAAAGCCCAAAAGGCATACACGGAAATTGGAACAACCCTCAGCCCGTTCCGGAGAACCTTGTAAATTCTCAACTTTTTGTCGCCACTGGAACCTGCCAGTAGGCCGATTTGATATCAAGACTCCTCAGATAAAGCGCATCTCAAACCTTGTCCAAAATTCCCGAAGTGAGTAGGCGTTTTTTTGGTTACTCGATTTAAACGACGATAGTCGACACAAAAACGATATGTTCCGTCCTTTTTAGGTATTAAGAGGATGGGAGAAGACCAAGTCGAAGACGAAGGTTCGACATCGAGTCATGTTCGCGATCAATAATTTCTTGCAACTTCGGCGAAATAGGAAAATTGCGTAATTTAATAGGCAATGTCTTCGATTCGATGTCGATTCTATGTTCGACCTCTTTAACGCAACCAAGATCTGAAGCACTGAAAGAAAAGTAAGCCTGACCCAAGGTGCGTGGCACGCTGCTCAGAACTAACCGAGAATTCACGAGAAGTTTCGATGCTATCAACAGAAACGGAAGAAAAATACCAACTATCACTACGTAGATCAGGACATCGCCCATACAGGTCCAAAAATTAACACCGAGAACGAGTGTATGAGGAAGCGAGGGCACAAGAAGCACGTTGAGAGCGATAACGCGATCCTTCAAACGAAAAAGTGCTTGAATTTTCCCTATTACCTCACGATCTGACCCATCAATAACTACACAATGAAGATTGGGATCCCGATCGACTTTAAGATTCAACGACTTCAGTAATGCCATTTCAGCACGACCGATAACGGTACGGCTTGCAACCGAACTAAGCAAACCTCGCATTATTACATTATAGCAACTAACTTCTAAATGAGGACGATTATCCCGATCTCTAGAGCGAGTTCTGAATGGATGGTCTTAGATGAGGATGGACCTTGGAAGCGACCATTTTCCAGGCCCTTTCCTAGTTTCCCAAACGAGACGTACTCGGAGTAGACTGTAAATTAAAATGTGGATAGGAATGAATAGTGGTATAGCCGGGTTTCTTGCATCGGTAGCATGTAACGCCCTTAACAGTCTTATAATCGACAGACGATGTACAGTCTTGTCACATTTTGAACGAGAATGACTCGATTTCGTCTCTACCATCGACACTTTTGGTTGACCCCGCGACTTTTGACTAGAAGACATGCAGCAGGCCAAGTCCGGTTCGAAACGCTTGGAACTCGAATTTGGATACCCTTGGCAGTCATCGGCTGTATACTTACAACGCTCTAACTGTTTGCAAAGGCCGCAAAGGGCCTCGACAGAGTTGGCTGGCGTCTAACCCAGCTGGAGCTGATAAAACGGCGCCAGATTCATACGACTACATTCACTTTGACCTCCTCCGGTATGAGACGATTAAAACCCGAAAAAAGATTGTCCATTTGAGCAATAAAAATACCGACAGATTCAGTTGAGACTTGACGACGAGTACGAATCTCATCCCACAAGAGTTTATCAAAATTGGGAGGTTGAAATTCTGCAGGAAGCCTAGAACATAACGTCGACCACGACGTTATAGAGAAACGATTAGCCCGTAATCATACGAGAACTCTTCCAGCGAAAAGAAAAATCGCATCCAAAACAAGACTATCATAATCAACCGCATAAGCGAAACAAAGTTCCTCTGCTCTCCCAATAAAAGCACTTATGCTCATACTGTCTCCATCAAATCGTAAGTCCCATGACTGAAGATCTTTTGGTTTTATTGAACCGACACGTTTTCTTTTTTAATAAGATATGAGAAATTTAGGCAACCATTTATACAGATGCCTTTGGTATTTGTCGTGAGCCCTTGGGCATTTAGTAAAATCCGTATAAAGTGATAGGCGGCACGTTTCCACGACCTACCTCCACCCTATAATCATAAGAAAATTTTAGTTACGATTATTAAACTTGTTAAAAATTATAGTAACAGGGTCTGTAATATGTTAAATTAATATTTGCAATATAATTTGTAACTCTAATTTGCAAATTTTGTTTTGTATCTCAATACAAATTGTTGTATTAGTATTTAGAAAACAACCGATTTTTTAAATTTGTTGAATGGAAACACTGTATATTTATGGAGATAAACACATTTTATTAGCATGTGATTGGAAAGCACGTATATAGTATTTTTTTTAATCAAAAGTCTTCTTTAAATCTGGAAAGGAATTTAATCAATCTTACCATCAGTCTAGTTGAATTAATTCTTTAAGGCGATCACCAATATTTTTGTGACATGTGTATATAGAAATAAAAAAAAGTTGGCTTCTTTAAGTAAGTGAGTCACAACTGCAAACACCAGTTGCATGGCATAAATTTTATAACTGACAAATTTTAAACTGATGAATTCCATCTCTAGGATGAGGTGGAAAATAACAAACTTTGTTAAAATTGGTACGATCTACGGCTGTCTACCGTAACGTTAAAAAGTGTATTTTCGATAATGGTTTAGAGCACCTTTCTGTAGTACTTAATATATTTTTTTCACAATTTTTTATTCAAACTATACGTGGAAAATGGAACATTATGTTACGCAGTACTGTCTTTATCTTTGTTTTATTTAAAAAGTGACAAAACGCATGGCATAAATATAGTAAATCTCTAAAAATAAGTTCCAGTAAAGCAACTTTAAGAAGTTGTTTTATTGCAATAATGCAGTTGTTAAAAAAATATTGTGTGTAACACGCGCCCAAGTACTCTAAAACAGTTGTAGAATAAACTAAGAAATTATGTTTTAATGTCAGTTTTTCTTTCTTAAAATTGGTAATTTTAACGATGACCGATTTACTGTTAGTTATCCACATATCTTGTTTCAAACTAAAAGTGGCAAATGAAACAATTTATTGATAATGATTATTGATTACACTATAACTAATAATAATAATAAACCAACATAAATCGATTTTAGCAAATAATATTATTATTAGACTGCAGTTGTTCGCGCACTAATTGCACAATTTCTTTATAAGTTTCGAAATTCTTTACTTTTTCAGAAGTCAGTTATAATTAACGTTCTCAATACATCAAGCAACACAAGTAAAAAATTAAGGACTGTTGTGACTTACTTTTCGGATGTAGATCTATGACTTGTTATGTAACGTAGGCTATGTATACTTGTTGTTTCATTAAACTCATTAACATAATGTTTTAAGTTACTACAAAAGTTCGTCTTTTTTTCAGAGGACATTATTCCCGAATATTTTCAACAGCCTTCATTGTATTTGCTAAATCGATGAATCGAATTAGTCTGGTATAATTTTAATCATGTATGCAAACATTTTTGCACATGTTTAAACACTATACAAGTTTTACTTTGTATTTCATCCGCTTTGTTTAATGAATGCGATAAATGTGGTAATGATGTTACATAAAACTCAATATGTTAGTTCTTGACTAATCAAATTAATTGATGTTTGCATTTACTTACATTATTATTAACAATTATGTCTAGACTTATTTTATACTGCCATTGATATACTTTACTAATTGCTTCAACATATTTTCTGCAGTTTCTTATTACACTATTCAAGTTTTTCCTTGTATTCTGTGTTCTGTGATTTACTGTGGTAGGTCAAAGTAATTTTTATATTCGCAGTCTGTGCGTATAAAGTAACGCCCTGTGAATTTGGTCTTCAACTGATCGTACAGCTGACTCAAGAAAAATCTAGAATGGAATTTTTGTACAACGTAAAATGTACCTGTCTCTTACTAGTCAGTTTGACAAACCTGTTCAATATTTGTCACTATTTTGACACCAAATTTTAGGAATGTCTTTATCTTTATTGTTCTAACCTATTTCAAAATAGTCGGGTTTAAACTAGGAAAATTCACACAGTAATCTGTCATACTAACTTTGACAGTTCCATTTTTTTCTAGAGCCAACTGTACCCAAATATTTATTTCTTATTAATACGAACCCGAATTATAAATTTTATTTAAGAGAAAGTGTAATTCTTATTGTAATATTACTGCCGTTCTAACCGTTTTGTTGTACTTATAGAGCTAGAATGACAGGAGGGAGCATGTATTGTACACAATGTTAAAGATTTGCCGGCAAAAGAGCTCCACAGAGAAGCCATTTATGACTCTTTCCGTACTACATCGGGAGCGGTCAGTCAATGATGTAAAACACAGTTAACGTTCAAAATAATCATAAAAAGAAATGTATAATATGTAGTATTTATTATGTTATCACAATTCTTGTTAAATACATAAAAATTATGAAATTGCGTTATAGATAAAATAATATGTGTATTGTACAATGATGTGTCATGCTTTAAATAGGTTTAATTTATTCTTCCAAACCAGTTGCCATAAAGTTGTATATTATAATATATTCTTACTGTAATGAAATAGATAATTTCTACACCAGAAATGAGTGAAAATCCAGTGAACAGTCCCAGAAGACCTCCAAAGTTTGCTACCAAATCTGATGGTCCATATAACTCATTTCTTTCAATTGCAGTGAACTGATCTGACTTAAAGTAGACAAACAAAGACGAATAATAGTAGCTAAAAAATATGAAGAAGAGATATTTAGGGTGCCAATGCGTATATGAACATATTACTTTTCTAAACCTAGTAGCGCAGTGGTATTTATCATGGTTAGATAATCTTTCATGTAATTATCATCTAGTGATATTTCGGCGTTATATTTTAAACTGGTGCAAGAAGGTTTGCAGTTACACATAGATTTATTAGAAAAACCAGATATTTCATTATTCAATTCGTAAATTTTTAGCTTTTCTTAAAAATTAAATATTATTACATATATTATTAAGTACAATATACCATCATATACTTGCTGCTAATACTTACTAAGTACTTTCTGTGCACAAACAGAATTTGTGATTCCACATATTTTAGTATAGTTTTGTCCTGTAATACGAAGTAAATTCAGTTTTGTGCTTTCCACATTCTACTTAAATTTAATTATACTAGCTATGTTACAAAATATTTTGAAAACAAACAAAAAGTTCAGAATGCTTTTCGTTTCTCTTTTCTGCAATTTACAGTACATACTTGGCATGTAGTAAGTCACGCAGCCACAGATCATCAAAGTAAAGTTTGCTTCACACTCGAGTAAACAGTTTAACTGAGTGTAAGGTTTAAAGTAGAGTAAAGGGCGTTCGTTTTCTAAATAACAGTTTCTCGAATCTGGGTTAAAATTTTTTACTGCTGGTGTTGTTGCGATAAGTGCTGGTTCAACCATTGCAGCCACTGTCTTTTGAAGTGGAACACGAAAATAAGACTTACTGAGACGAGGAAATTCTAGAGGGTTATGCAGTAAAACCTAAAATTTATCATAAAATAAGAAAGAGTACCTAATTGATTAGTGAATACTTACTTTATATCCTTGGTTGTTTTTATTGCATAGCAAATCGGTTGTATATCGTTCATGAGCTAATTCTATATTTAAAGAATCATCAGCACCTGACAACAATGCTCGTTTTGGATAAGCATTAATGCCAGCATCTTTTGCATATCCGGTGTCACTGTTATAGCTGACAGGTTTAGCTGTTAAGTTTCGATATGGTTTATAATAAATTCTAAAATATTCCTTGGTACATAACGAAGAGGTTTAAAATACTACATAGACATACACATCACTTCTGAACATGTCCTCCTGATCAACTATATTAAAAGAGTAACAAATTCCTTGATCGGTAAGAACAATATACAAATGGTCCAAGCAATCATCTCCCATAAATGAACAACTTATTAACTCATCAGGCCTTAACTAAATAAAAAACGTATTGATTAATAAAAAAAAAATAGTTAGCAAGTAAACCTACTTCATTAATTATGTCACTAAAATCATTTTCAACTTGGAATGCTGTGTTATAAACATAAGTAAAAAATGCATTTTGTTCGAATGAATTACATAATAAACTTATGTAATAAAAATTACGCATTCTGAAATATGTTTCATAGATACTATATAGATATCATGGACATACTCTTGCTTACTCAGTACTGTTTAAACGTGTGTTCGAATGAAATATTTTGTTATACGCATCAGAATAATTAAAATGGTCTTCTAGACATTTTGATTCGGGGCAAATTGTTACTGCGGGAAAGGGAATGCTGAACAAGGGTGTGTCCTTTGTTGCAAAACTTACTACGATAGGGCTGTTTTTATACCTTTCTACTATTTGATAGATCATTAAAGTACATCCTGCTAGTGATATTAGTAGCAAAAGTCCCCACAATATTCTAGAATAAATAAATATATTACAAGTTTTATTTCAGTGTTCTACGTACTTTTCAAAGACAGTTCTTTTCTCAGTTAAGTAACGGAGTCCATGAATACCAGATATCTCTGTGTATTCTCTACAATAAGTATTAGCACCTTTCCAAAAACTGTATTTTTTTGAAGTTTCCATATCGACATATTTCACATTTGTATCCATTGTACCTTCGGTGGAAAGGACAATTATTTTAAAAACACTTGATCAAGAAACGTTTTGGGAGTAATAAGGTACTTATGAAAAATGCTTTCGGATTAATAATACTGATGAAAATGTTGGGTTACACAACAGTACTTCAATCGAATGATAAGATAAAATCCATTTATATCGATATATGTGCATATGCATATCTAACTGCTAAAAAAAATACAATAATGATAAATTTTTAAAAAACACTATGACAACAATTTTCACAAATACACTTTATTATTATTTTTTTGTTTTCACTAGTTACATAGTTCTGAGTTAGACAATAGACATTAATTAAGATATGAGTGCATGACATTCAAACTGAATTAGACCAGCCACCGAACAATCTATTATTATAGAAAATCCTTAAAGTAAAAAAATACAATATTTCAACTAATGACAACAAAGAAAAACCTATGAATAGACCCAGCAGTCCACCAAAATTCGATATGAAATCAAACACACTGTAGAGTTCTGCTCTCTCAAGTGCCATAAATTGTTCGCGTTTAAAGAAAATAGCCATCACAGAGAATTTTGCACTGAAAGAGTTAGTTTTTTTTTGTGTTATATGATATCATTAATTTAAGAATTTACTCAGTATCTTCAAGCAATGGTTCTTTGAATTCAAACGCCAACCTTTTCTTTACATCAAATTCATCTTCAGACATCTCTGTGATATACTGCCAGTTGTTACAAGATGGTTTGCAATCGCACTTTGTTATTCTTTTTTTAAAGTACTTATTTGCCATTTCTTCGCTGATCATGTTTTCTGGAACATATCTATTAGTTATACCTTAAAAAATTGGTCTCAAGCAAGGAGGTTCATAGAGTTATAAAAGCAAAAATATTTATTGTGACATAAAAATTCAAGTCAATTTTACTGCTGCTGTTTTTGTATACTTCAATTATATTGTCTTATTGTATTATTATGTTGTCTTTAGTTTACACTCGGAAAATAAACTAAAAACACATGCACAACACATGGAACATTTTGGAACTTGTCTGTAGATCTTTTGATATCAAGTTTGTTGGGTTTATCTAAACATTCATAACAAAAGAAGCATTAGAATAAATAAGAAAAAATAATATCAGTGTAAAAATAATGACACTATAAAATTTTGTTGTATAGTGCAGACAGTCTAGGATGTTGTTTTGACTTCTCGAACGTAAGCCAAGTAAGTACTAGGACAAAACTCTATCTGGCGACCGTCTTTTTTTGATGTTGTTTCGACATTTTATGACCTCTAGACTAGAGTACGACGTTTCTGTCTGTCTGTCTGTCGTCTGTCGTCTGTTTGTCGCCTGCGTCGATTTTCATTACATAGATAATCTACAAAATTACCGAACCGATTGTCATAAAATTTTATATTTGTTTAAGGAATATGGTAAAGATGATCAAATGCTAATCAAAATTTATGTAATCGTCTTCACCAATAATTGATGACGTTTACTCCAAATTTTTCTTAATAAAAGTTATTTAAATTTTACAAAATAATGTATTCCTGTATTTGTGCTTTATTAATCCACGTTGATTTGTCTATTATAAATGTAATAATGAACCTCTTGATAGCATCATAGAAACCGTTAATAATCCGCTGTTGTCTTTGATATTTCGATGTGTACTGATGTTGTGATTGACACCTTGTTTTTATTTTAATTTATAATAGTCACGGTAAATAATTTCAAAATCAAATTTTATCATTCTTCGAAAAAGCTGAATATGTTGTACTGTGCTTCAGGGCGAGGGAGGTGCTGCCTAAAAAATGTTTTCAGTATATGTTACAATGGATCAATATTAAGACAGTTGACCGTAAGTAACAAACTGGGATCTTGCAAACAATTTTTTATTTAACATCAGTTGGTCGCTTGTGAATTTTTCAGACAACTTAAGTAAACTGTTACAGCTAAATAAATTCACATCCTTCTGATATGTGATATAAATAACAAGCATTACTTATTGTCTAATACCTTTTAGATAAAACTTGTCTGGGCCTTTAGCTGTTATTTCTTACTATGTTTAAATAACTTCTATTATATTCGTTATTCACTACTAAATGATTAATAATGTATATATACCTTCAGCTTTATCCATACACTTCTTACTTCCAGTTCCACAAATTTTCGTGTTGTTAGTTCCTAAAATATCGCTTTAAAAATAAACTTAATAGAAACATTTCTAAAACTCACTGGGCATATAATAGGCCACACAACCACATGTAATTAAAGTATAATTAGTAAGACATTCCAAGAAGCAATTCGATTGAGTATACGTCCGAAAATATTTCAACGGTCTTTCGCTGCCTAGGTAACATTTTCGTTTCTCTGGATGGAATTTTTTAACTTCGTCAGACGTAATAACTACTTCAGGTTGTATAGCTACCATTGAATGTTTTTTGTAGGAAATGTGAAAGTAAGAATTGCCAAAGCGAGGAAGTTCCAAAGGATTATGTATATAAATCTGCAATCAATGTTCTTAATTTAACAAGCGCGATAAAAAAAAATCAGCAGTACCAGTGTTTGTTTGTGATTGATAAAAATGTAATTGTCCTAACATTTATATTCTCCAAAATGAAACAAGGAAGCAGCGTAAGGAAAAGAAGAAGAAAAACAACAGATGGAAAAGAAGAGCAATATGACTGTATGGAAATAAGGTGAATAAAAATCTGTGGAACAAATGGTCAGTATACGACGTAGTTTTAACCAAGATAACAAGAAAGTATATCTAGTGAAGAAAGAACGAATGCGATAATAAACATGATATGAGTCGGAAAATAAGAACTGGAGTATAAACTGTTACGGTATTTAAATAGAGAAATTAGGGGAAAAACAAACATCAGATTTGGAATAGAGAAGAATAAGAAAAACAATAAAGAGAAAAGTAAACAAAGAGAAGAAACATAAATGATAAATGAATGAAACACCTTAAATCACCGAGAAACGAAGCAATAGGTAATTATAAAATGTAATAACTAGAAAGTAAAACACTCTACTTGACTGAACAGTGCACACCAAAATAATAACTTTAAACAATTAAATCAACGTCAAAACACCATATAAGTAAACTTGTTTTTTGTTCGACCGTTTTTACAAAACAATCTATCAGAATGATTTTTCATCCTGTTTAAATCTATTAACATACATTAAATCCTTGGTTAAATGAGGAACACAAGGCGTCTGTTTCCACCGAAAGGTCTGCCAAGAATAACACAAAGCCATATTGATATCCAGATGTATATGGTCTCTTAGGATATGTGAATACTCCAGCGTCTGGGGCATAGCCTGTGTCGACATTAAAATCACTCTCCTGGTTGTATGTAGAAGAAATATCTGGATGGAAGATTCTGAAAAACAGTGATTTATTTGCAGTTTTAAATATATATTTTATAACAATACACGTCTTCCCTGTAAATATCATTCAAATTCAATATATTAAATGAATAACAAATTCCGTCCTTAGTTAGAATAGAAGTGAAAGTACCGTTTTTGCACTCAGTATTTTGAAAGACACATTCCAAACTTATATCTGGTTGCAACTAAATTAAAATTTTTTTCTGTGAAACATAAAATTTTTTTTTTGTATACGTTACCTGACTTATGACTGTAAAAAAGTCGTCATTTACCGTTTTACTGATGTTGAGTTCCAAACTATCAGAATCGTCACATAACAAATACATATGATGAAATATTTTGAATCTATAAAGTTTAATTTAGATTTTAATTGTTTATTAATTTATTTTTTTACTTAACTCGTCATCAGAAATTGGTTTCTGATTTTGTACTTTATAGTAAACATCGCTATAATTGAAATTGAAATTAGAACTCCTTGATACTGGACAAATGGTTACAGCAGGAAATGGTACTTCATGCACAGATAGTTGTGTACTTGCAAAATTAATAACGATAGGATTGTTTTCATATTTTTGCCATATTTTGTAAATCATAAAAATGCAACAAGACATTGATAGTACCAAACAAATTGCCCATATTAATCTTAATTCAAAAACAAAGACAGTGTTAGTGTTAAAAGGCTAAGTTCATTTATAAGACGTACCTTTCAGTGTTTGATCGTTTTGTAGCTAGGTAGTGAACACCATGTATATTTGAAACTCTACAGTATTCTTTTAAGTAATTTTTAATTTTTAGCCACATACTTTTTTCTTTAATAGGTTGTACACGCATATCTTCTAAACTTTAAAATAAGGGAAATTTTAAATAGGAGTACTGACAAAATAGGCACTTCTCAACTAAATCTGCGGACCATTCATAATTTCTGCAAATGATTTTTTTTTGTATTTATTCTAGGTAGCAATTTAATTTTTAACCACTGGTAATAAAGTGATTTACAGAGGTATCCCAATAAATTACATGCACGTGTTAGAAGTTTGAAAGACAACAGATTCGACTTCAGCCTTGTTGAAACGTTTTTCTCACCTGACGTTGTTAACATAAAGATTTGTCGGTTTAAAATGATTTAAATTGTTTTAAACGGTTACAAATTTAATACAATAATAAAAACTTTTTACTAAACAAGTAAAATTATTACAAGCACCTGTTTTGACTAGTACATAACATTATATTATCGTTGCGCTTCAAAAGTTAGAAAACTACTGGGGTGGAATAATGTTCTCTTTACGTAAAATATCGTCATTTCGTGTTCATAATACAAACATGTTGTTTTGTTTTTAAGTTATTACTCGTAGTACTATTGATTGCAGACTCGCTCATTTATGAGTAAATCAATATAAAGGATGATTAACAAAAAAAAATCGTGAAGTTGCTGCTGAACAACCAAGCTGTCATTCGTGTCGTTTACTGATGATAAATGGAGAATGAGAAAGATAGCCAAATATTCAACCAGAGCCAAGGAACGAGTTTTGCTGATCACATATTGCTTAAATTATGTTCAGATCACGAGCGACCAAATTAAAACCACCTCTAGTTACTTATCGATTCTCAAATAACTATGGACAGAT